TCTAATGGTGAAGTCAATTTTACCCCAAAATGTCGTCATTTTCCCCTTAATCGTTTTTACGACGAAATTTCGTGTTTTATATCCCGATCGGGATACTACTTTTTTTCTATATCCTGATCGGGATATATATCCCGATCAGGATATAGAAGGTGTCCCCTTACTGACTGGAATCAGTGTTGACGAGTTTAAGCAATTTTTAATAGATTTTTGACAGTAAGTTAGTGTCTGATTATGATTACCTTTAATTAAATAAGTTGTACTCATACTTTGATACATGACTGTTGGCAAATTATTATTGGGTGATAAGTGTTTCTCGATAGTGTCAAGTGACTTTTTATAATAGTGTATTGCAGTTTTATACTCTGACTTTTTATGTGAAATTTTACCCATATCAAAATAAATATGAACAAAATCATTAAGATTATAATTAGGTAACGAATCATTTAATACTAATTGAAGAAATTGTTCGGTGTTATTACACTCATCCATGATTATCATCAATCGTGCTAAATAATACAAATGGTTTGTCCCATCGATTTTTTGTCTAAAAAGATCGGCTAATTGTTTCAGTTGTGTATCCTCATCAGTAGTCCATACTAATTGTATATAGTTTCTTCCATTATCAAGTTTATCTGTAGATTCAATACGAAATACTGCACCGATTGGCAAGAGTATCTCTCGTTTCCCATCTTGAAAATGACTCATGTTCCATATTCGCAAATGGACTCTTATTGTTTATTATTTTTGTATCAATTTCTGTCTCAAATAAGATACCTTTCGTATCGAGACTTGGTTCAGCAAGTACGATAGCTAAGTCTTTATAAAATGTTGTAGACCAAAACGATTTAATCGAAAAAAATCCACCAGTCTTATTTTATAATGGCTTATTAAACTCATCTGATGGCATATTTTGACCACGGTAAACTGTTACGATTGACTTAAAATTTGATTCATCATACAATTTTTGTAAATTCTGATGAAGATCTTTAATAAAAAATTTCATTTTATATAAGATACGAAGATCTTGTGTGCGTAGGGCTTTATTCATCATACGATATAGACACATGTCACGTGTATACCAATATACAGCTTCATCTGATGCATAGTTTTGTTCAAATTCATCAATTTTATAAAGTTTAATTGCATTGTGAGCATACTGTAGATGACATTCATCTAGCAGTTCTTGTTTAGCAGCACTGGAATATTCAGAAGAAGTAAAAATTTCTTTTAATAATTGCGCATACATAAATGAAACTTCTCGTTTATTTATACCATCATGAATATTGTCAGTCAATAAATCAATTGTATCGAATAAAGTTCAGTCGTATGACGCTCGTGTTACATCTCTGTTCAATTGAACTGAAATTGATGTGAGGTCAGTGAATACGCTACGTAATTTTTCTTCCAGCCATCTGAAGTTTTTCAATAAATTAGAATTTTTTCTGTAAATATAAATTGAATCAATTTGTGATAATTGATTAATAAGTGAAATAATTTCTTCAGTGCTTAATAATCTTTTGTTTCCTCCATTTTTGATCCTGATATAATCAAAAAAAGCTTTTTTCATTTTTATGTTTGTAATATAATCAACACATTCATCTCGATTATGAAAAATTTCTATAGAATTGATAATAGCACGAAGTTGAAGATTATCATCATTGTCTATATTATCAGTTGTGGTATGAAGCCATATTAGAATAAAATTTTCTACATTATATAGAATGTGGATATTGTTCAGTAGAATTATTATTCATTGACGAAATAGCGTGATGAACCGAGGATGCCATAGACAAACTGATTGGTAAAATACGTAGTTGTTCTTTATAACAATTTCATTTTGTTATTTTTTTTCTTTTCTATTATTTTTGTTGTTTGTCTGTAAGTAAAGTGTTTCATTTCCAACGTCGAATGAAAGGGAAAGATCAAAGTGGAACTTTTTTTCTTTATAATGACCCTTGATTTGTTTCGGTGGGATTCTAATTGAAAACACGGAAAATTTAAAAGGTTGACTTGTTTATTCACGTAACGGGACTGTACCTACTCGATACAGATACATTATGTTTACAGTACAGTATGTGTAGTTATTTTCTATAACAGCTTCAGGAAAATGAAGGTAATAATCCGAAGGACCGGGGTCGATAAGAATCAAAATCGGCCCGCTCAATCTCATATTCACAGGTCTGATGTATTTGTTCTCCGTGATTAAAAATAGCATCTTAAAAATCACTGATATTTTAATATTTGCAGCTGAAGAAATAGTCTAATATCGCTAAATTTTGCTATATATGACACAGACATGTCCATCGCGGTTAGTAATCAGCCGCTGCCGCGCCGCCAAAGTTTCGAAAACACTGATGCGGACGTTTCCAAAATTTGGCACCGTGCCGCTGCCGCGACGCGGATGTTCTTAAAAAATCGGTGCCGCGACGCGATGGGAAGCAACTTAGATGGCTGCTCTCCATTTGCATAACTAATATTTAAGATTAGAAAGATATAGAAATGATAAAAAATTGAGAGTACCTGGCATAATATATAGTCACTAAGAAGTGAATTTTTATATATATATGATATTTAGATCTAAAATATTTTGATCAATTAATCATATGTGAATATTCCAAGTCAATTCTTTATCTGTCGCTTGTGTAATAAGATCGACATTTTTGTCATAAAAAAAGTTGGTGCAAAATGATTTAAGTGTTTGTTATATTTCATATTTTTTTCACATAAATTACTAGTAGAAATATTGTACAAAAAAGAACAATCACGTGCTTGTTGAACCATCTTGTTTTACGTTTGCTAGTACTTGTCGAGCACTTCTAATCATCAGCATATTATCAGCCTGATTTTGTGATAATCTTTGTCTCCTATTATTTAATATAAGTCCACTATAACTGAAAAGTCATTCGGTTCCTGAGGACGTGGTACGAATTGAAAAGAGTTTTCGAGCAAGACATTTTAAAAGCGGAAATTTCAAAGTTGCAAGTTCACTTGACCAAAAAGTAAGAGGATTTTCATTAATTATTGATGTGAGAATGTGAGAATCTCAATGATCCTCATGGACGAGAAGAGAGAGAAAGAAAGAAAGAATGACCTCGGCACATATATCAGACGAATACAGATGATTCAGCGAGAAAATCAAAGAAAAGATACAAACGAAAGAAGAACATATAAATATATAGAATGTATGTCTGTTGTTAGAACTATATAACGTCTAGAAAAGAAATATCAACAGCCACGAAAAAGCTAATTTATAAATAGTACGATAACTCCAGCGTTCATCATGATGCTAGGATTTGAATAGCTTTATCACAGATTTTTTTGACAAAAATTAAATAAATCTTTTCAAAAATTCAACCGCTGCCGCGCGGCGCCACGATGGCAAAAATAAATAAGCTGCCGCGCCGCGACGGTAAAGAAGAATACGTTGCCGCTTCCGCCGCAGCGGCAGCGCCGCCATGGACATCATCTGTTATGATGGGCTAGGTATTACGACGTGTAACCATTGGTGCTTAATGGGGCCAATGAGAGCGTTACTATAAGCCATAAGAATGAATTTCGCTATAAAGAGTCGGAAAAGTTCAAACAAAAAAGAGTTTCACCAAACTTTCACGATCACCAGAGCATATAGCCTAGATTATATGGATAAAAGGAAATCGAATAAAAACACTAGTCTCAGAAGTTGTTTTTTTTCATATGATATCGTGCTCTTCTCATATTAGCGATATATCAAGATTGAAGATGTGAATATCTGTCGTCTCTATTAGAAGTGTATGGATAACTACGGTTCGATCTATAATTCATAACTAGGCATGAGCGGTAACGGTAAAGGATTTTTTTACCGAGGGTTACCGCTGTAAAATTTTTAAGGTTTTACCGTAAGCCAGTAACGGTAATAAAATTACTTTTACCGATTATTTTTTGAAAATTGATTTGAATTCATATATTATTAACAACTCTGTAGTCATCAGTAAATTACCGTCGGTAACGGGTAAAAGGTTTTTATCGAAGTTTACCGCGGTAAAATTTTGAGATTTTTTACCGCTTTTAATAAAAATTTGAAGTTGTTACCGAAGCATCGGTAACGGTAACACGTTTTTACTGTTACCACACATGTCTGTCATAACTCACCCAGTTTTTGTTGAAATTAAATAATCCCTATTACGGTTAGCTTCGCAAGGTTTACCTCTACTCAAATGCATAAACAAACATGATATTCTAGAACACGCACAATTCGGAATATAGGAATATACAAGTTTTTAGAAAAATTTAATTAAGACAAAAACTCGTTTTTCGCTTGAACTACAAAATTCTCAGCTCTACTTTTAGCATCATTAGCTAGAGCACATAAAATTACTTATGCACAGATATTTTTGGACTTTTCATTCAGTCCTCTTTGAATCCAAGTCATCTTTTACTTTTATCTTAGAATAGCTTCTAAGAAAATTTCTGAAATTGCCCATTATCACGCAGGATTCAACTTTAATTCATAATAGCACCGAAAAGTACAAGTTCTATAAACAAGAAAATTCCCTCTTTAAAGAGTATACTTGGAGACTGATTTCACCATGTTTTATCCGGCTTTCTCTTCGGGAACATGGTGCAATTCATTTCCGGTTTGAGCTCAAAATAAGTAAGTACACAGTCACATCTTTTAAATTTCTGTTTCAATTGCTGTGTACTTACTCTAAAGTTATTATTTAACTTATTCAATTTTTCATAGCACTTTTTTATATACGCGTGTCTTCACTCATGAATTTTTACACTAATACAAATACATGGAGTTTTTGCTGAATGCCGAGAATATTTTCAGTAAGAAAACGATCTAAAAATCTTTCTTCATCTGTTCTGCATCGTTGCTTTTCTCCTCACTGTTTGTTAATGTGTTCTGCGTGACCGCTTGAACACTACCTCCTCGTGTATAACATGCGTGCAATAAGTGAGAAGAAGCGACTGGAAGGGTGAAAATTTCGGTTGGCTCAAATTAGGCTCCTGAATTCTTTGATGACGTCTGATCTTCACTGGAAATTTAAATTAAATTGGTGAACAGAGAAACAGAGTCCTTGATACAAACACCCTTGAATAGCTTTTTGACTCATCTGCATAAAATTGAACAACGAAAACGTTAGGAGAAAAGCAACGATGCAGAACAGATGAAGAAAGAGGATTACTTTCGTGTGTGACAATAGTTGAAAAATACATGATCAGAATAGTATAAAGCAAGCCCACGTCATCTCACATTTTGTACTTTTAGACCGTTTTTTTTAGTGAAAACTACTTTGCGCATTCAGCATGTTTCCAGCCAGTGAACTTTCGGCTGCTACCCATAACAACAGCATTGTTCCTGCCGAACCTGACAGTCCGAAAGAAGTTAATAAACAAGAAAAACGTAGGTCCTTACTGAGGTCGTATCTATTGATTAATCGTTATATGCCTACTTGCAGGAGTGTTTTCGTTACCAATAACTCGTCAGCAATGTGGAACACTCTGGTGTGTGGCTACCATCTTATCTGTCATCACTGCCTTTATTGTTGTCGGGTAGGTCTCATATTATTCAGAAATGACGACCACACGTGAGTTATACGCGCGCTACGAGTCAAAACAAACTAAAGACTAATCAATGTCTTGATACTAGGCCTCCTAAGAGATCAGCGTTGATGTGCCGGGCAACACATTTCCTTTTCTAATCAAGCATCACAGTTGTGCAGCAAGTTGCAATCTATCTGGACACTTTCTCTTACCTTATAACCACAGCCTTTAAAATCCAAATTTGGTTTATTGCAGACTACGGTGAGACAGTATATCCTCTCTTTTCAGCTTGATATCGGCTTTCCTTCCGAAGATCCGTGACGACGATCCTGTCCGTACAACTGCGGAGACAGTAACCTTAATACTCGTTCTCCCTATAGCTCAGAATAACAATATGTCATCGTCAATTAATGGTTCTTTGGTGGTCAACAATTCTCTCAGTATTGTTCAACGCAATATCTTAAAAGCTTGTGTGAGTTGATTAAAAAACTCTGCTTACTCTTATTTCCTTAATAATTTTCATATACGATAGGTGCAAGCAAAGTTGAATTCGGATAATCGAACAAACAGCATGACGATTTTCTGGATCGACAGTGCTCAATATTCAGGCAACAATAACAGTCAAATGGTGCGTTCTTACTGTTTACAGATTAACAGGGTTAGGAGTAGACGGCTAACATCGACAAAGTCGACAAACATAATTCGCACTTTAATACCAAATAAACAGAGAAGGCCATGCTCAAACTCATTCTTGGCTAACTCTGTATGCCGTAAAGAACAGGTGTCTTACGGAAATCTAAAAGAATTCTTCCCTCGGACACAAGAGAAGCGCCTTTAAATATTTTGTATAATGATCATTATTTATGGAAGAAAACACTTTTTCTCACGGCAGATACAGGCTAGACCATTCGCATATCAGATACGGTAGTCATTCTCTTATCTTTCTCTTGGTCATACATTCCTTTTTCATCACACCACGTTTATCGTAACATTTTATTGTATCACCTCACCACGTGGTTCCCCATTTCTCTCTCTTTTCTGCTGCTGTTACATATATATATACAGCGAGAAAGGATATATAATGGGGGTTGTATTTGTACTGTTACTTTTTGTGATAAACGGAGGACGTCGAGGAGCCAAATTAGAACCTCACAATCGGAGACCGAAATAACGACGTTTCGGTATCTTCTTCTTCCACTGATCCGAGAAAAATCATACGGATAGTAAATGAATCGTAGAAATAAACGTTCGATAGCATACAAGTTAACTCATGATGGTTTTGGCAAGAAGCTACGAAACTATCAGAGGTGAAGACAGCCAAATCTCTCGCCATAGGTTCACTTAAAAGTTTCTGAGGAAATCTTTTTCGGTTCCGTACGCGAATGTGAGGTTTGCTAATACCGTTTTTTCAGAGCGTACACTGCGATTCTAACGCACAATTTAGATGATGTTGAACATTCTGTTAATCTTACCCACGAAGCTTTTCTATGACATTTTTTCAAAACCGCTCATCTTTACCACCGAAACACTTTCTGGAAGATATTTAAAAATTCCACTGAACACGAGTCATATTACTCCTTTTCAAACATGAGGAAAACTTATTAAATACCCGATCTGAGCATTACAATTTGGTACGATACGACGGGCGACTCCAAAAAATATATTAATACTCTTTCTTTTCAGAAACAACGGCGAAGACGACGAAGACGAATCCGTCGTCAGGCATCAGCAGTTCTCTGGGTACAAACTGTGATTTCGGTACAATGTGGTCGTATTACTTCGAAGACAGATTGTCAACAGCGCGTTGAACTAGTACTCGACAAAAGGTTTGTGGCTTTTAATCCTCGTTTTAATCTTTATCTCTCGACACACGATTTGAAACTAAAGAACGGCTGCCTAATCTGAAAACTTTTCGTTCATGTAGCTGTCTGTAATG